GACTTGTTCCTCTTTTTGCCTCATTCAAGTGGGGAAGCAGACATGGGATTATGTGGAGAAGGTGATAGTAGTTAGAAAATAATGCGACCAATTCTTATCTTTAACTTCAACTGCTGTAGTCTAAGTTGTATGGTCACCAGGTTGGCCATGGCCTACGAAATTCCATCACCTCTGATACGCGGTAGGCCTACGGCTTACGCCTATAGGCTACAGATTCGACTCAAGAGGCTAAACGCTACAGCCTTGTTCAAGAGGAAACTTAGGCCCACCTTTTGGGAAAACGCAGAAGTAAACATTGTTTCCCCAGCCTTCTTCAGGAGGATGGAATCGTCCGTCGACAAGGCGGACTCCTCTGATGGTTCGACTCTCCGGATTTCTATATTTGAGGCCAGAAGAGCCAGGGAATTGTGCATTGAGCGTAGTAAGCAGAAGCGTTCCGTCGTCTTCCAGCGGGATTTCGATCGGTTCTTCGCTCTCATCTTCCGCCACTTGGATGTAATTAGCCATTTTTTTTAATCCGGGGGAAGGGGGTGAAAAGAGACTCTCTCGTGCTCACTTTCGTTCTTTTACACAAAGAAACCCATGTCGTCTCTCTCTCTCAAACCCAACCGCACGCAGTCACAGACTCTCACACACAAACCCAAGCAGTCAAATCACAAGCTGTGAAACACAATATGGCCGCCAAGACCTCACAGGGTTGTCCCAAGTTCCTTTCTTCCTATTCCACGAAAGTCTTGCGTATTTCTTCCTATATCTGGTTTGACTTCCATCATCATATCACCAGGCAATCCAATTTTAAAGAAGATGTTAATTTTCTGCGTGAAGTGGGTCAATTTATGCAGATTGTGTTCGACGAGAGGTAACATCCGTGCACACTACGGCACCATATCTGTGCTGCGTTCAAATCGAGTTTCACCCGGTTTCACCCCACTGTCGAGTTGTGGAGTTTAAGTTATTGACAAGAGCTATCAATACAGGAGGAAATGCTTCCTGATGTCCCTACTCAAACCGTGAACCGAGTTGCTTCGCGCAGAAATGGTTGTCGCTCCATGGTTTGACCCATCTCTATACAGGGTGGGCCAAAAGTCAGGACAAAATTGAAATTTTATATATTGTTTTATTTTGTTTATTAATTAATTATTATAAATATAATAAATATTAATTAATATTATTATTAAATATTAAATTAAATATAATTATAAATGTATTAATAGCTTACAAACATGTAATATTCCTGGTTTATCTTGTAATGAATAAAGCAAAATATAAATATTTCAAGTGTGTCCTGACTTCTGGCCCACCCTTTCTATCTCTCGCCATTAGTGACGATTACCATCACCAGGTGTCCGTCGAGTACAGATGCCAATAGCATCCCTCTCTCTAAGGGGTGTAGCTGGCAACAGCATTAGGGACAAGGAAGGGATAGGAGCAGTGGCGCAACCAAGGGGAGGGTGGTTCAGGGGGTCTGAACCCCCACAAACCCCTTCTCATGCAAGTATCTCTCTACTTCTCCATTCCCCTCTCCCCTGAGGATGGAGGACACAGGAACGATAGAGGCAAACGACCAGAGAGCGAAGCTTGAAAGGTACAAAGGCGGTGAAAAGCGAAGGTCACACCAGTCACATTTGACCAGGGGGGGGCGACCCCCCTTATGGCCAGGTCACCATTCTATTTTTTGTTTTGTTTTACAGCTTCTACATTAATTTTTATTGGGGCCAGTGAAATAGATATTCAAGTTTTTACTCCAGACGAGAAATTAAAAAGGCGATAGAGCTGGCAGTGGTGGAAGGCGGTGGGGAGAGGGGGGGGGGGGGGGGGGTAGAAAGTAGGGAACCGCCCCCTATGAAAAATTTCTGTATCCGCCACGTGATGTGGTTTCTCGCTTTCGCTTTAGTAAAGTGAACTTGTCAAGGAAACGTCCTGCACATGCAGGGCCGTCCAGAGCTTTCCAGGGGCCCGGGGCAAAACTAAACCGGAGACCCCTTGATACGAGGGGCCTGGGGCAGATTGCCCCAATTGCCCCCCACCCTCTGGGCAGCCCTGCGCACGTGTGACGCTACTGACTATTTTTAAAATGAAAATGAAAAGACGACAATTCAGAAAGGCGTGAATAAAAGGCGTGAATCACGCACAGGTTAATGAATTTCCAGCTGCGTATCTGTGCAGTGAAATTCGGGCAGAATCTCGAAATTAATTTAGTTTATTTTGAGCTTTACTTCAGATACCAGAATGTGCTTCAATCATTTAGAGTTCAAATTCCATTTCCACCATTTTATAACATATTTCTTTATTTCATTTTCTTTGCTCGCGTGTTCGCATTTTTGTTGAGTATATTTCTTCTGATGATTTGATAACGCCTTCTTGCATTCGGAGACTTTTGAAAGACAAAGGTCATGAGAACTTATCCGACCCCCCCCCCCCCCCCTCCTCCCCCAAACGTTAGGGCTGGTTGCGCCACTGGGTAAGAGTGAAAAAGCCAATCCAAAGGCAAATCATTGTTACGTGATTCCTACGTATTTGGATGATGCACGATTCCGAGCAGACGGTATGCAACCTTTCAGGTGGTTAAAGCCAAGTCGTGCGCTTTCCTATTAGGACTTTCCAAAGCTGAACGCATATACAACTTGTTTGCGACCTCTGGAGGCTTAAAATATGTTCGATTCCGGTAAAAATGACCGTTGTCAACGCGATCCCATGCCAAATCATCGGTACAATACTTCCAAACTACTATAGTATTCTATTCTTCCCTTCATGTGAATGTGGAATACCAGACTTCTGCGACTAATGTTTCACGTGAAGATGCCCCCACTTCAGTGATGGCTAAAAGTGTACAGGGTGGCTCAAAACAAAAAAACCAAGCTATTGACTTCAACATGCTGTAAATCAGACTGCAATGCCTTGATTGGATGCCTTTTAGGCACACATGAAGCAACTCTTGTGCAGCAGATATACAATTATATTTTATGATATCACGAGTTTTTTGCTTCATCGGGATGAAAATGGCCGCCTCCATCCAGAAAATTGCTGCAACGGTCCCCGGCTGCCGTTTGAGTTGTAGCAGCGACAGCTGTTGTTAATACACTTTATTATCTGTATCAATGTTTGAAGATATGATTTTTCCTTTTCCCACATTTTGTCCTACTAAAACAAAGCAATCCCTAGCTATTCGCATGAAGACCTGGTGGTGATCAAGACCTTGCGAGTTCAAAAGGGATAGGAACAGGACCGGATAAAGAAGTTGCGAGGCCTGGGGCTAGTGGATTCTTGAGGGCCCCCCCCGATACTTTATGCAAATATTTAATGTTAATTTCCTTCGGGGGGGGGGGCCTGGAAGAGTGGGGCCCGGGGCAACAGCCCCCTATGCCCCTCCCCCTTTAATCCGGCCCTGGATGGGAAGCCAGAATGATGAATGAATTGAAGAATTTTCTGATAAAACAAACTGGCTAAGAAGTGGTCTTGAAGGCATCATTCGGAAGATTGATGAGAGACGGGATCGGCAACTCCAAAACAAGGTAGTGGAAGGTCCATAATCCAAAGAATGCAGAGAATGATGAAAAAGTCGAAATGCGCATGTCGAGTCAGGAGGATCAACCTGGAAGTTTGTTTTACCCAGAAAATTCATTCATCATTCTTCAGCAAGGTCTTGATCACCACCAGGTCTTCATGCGAATAGCTAGGGATTGCTTTTAGTAGGACAAAATGTGGGAAAAGGAAAAATCATATCTTCAAACATTGATACACATAATAAAATGTATTAACAACAGCTGTCGCTGCTACAACTCAAACGGCAGCCGGGGACTGTTGCAGCAATTTTCTGGATGGAGGCGGCCATTTTCATCCTCAATAAGTACGAATACACGTAATTTGGACACACCAGAAATAAGGTGGTAATCTGCTCATGGAATGAGCATTTCATGTAGCAGTACTTTATGTTCCTTAGTTTCCCATGGAATAAGAAATGATCACAGATCAATTTGAATATATTTGAAATTAGTTGCTGTCATGGCAGCAAAAAAAAAAATGGTCATCAGTGGTACCCTAACAGTGGGTTGCAAAGAGGCACGTAAAGTGATACATCCGTTAAAATAACTGATGAAGATACCTGGAAAGATTCCATCTCTAATCACTTATCTCAGCAAAAGCAGCAATGCACAAATCTTAAGGGGAAAAAACCTACTGAAAAGGTCTGACTTTTTAATAATTTCTTCAAAAAGATTTGCTCAAAATTATGGTGAACTTTTTTTGATGTTGCCAGGTGAGTCAAGATTCAAAGTTTGGGATCTATTGATCTGTATCATTGGATCATACTGTGGTCATCAGCTTTGAAGTGCCTCATCCCTGTACATATTTAATTTTTTATTTTCTTCAAGATGTGAAGGGTTCCATGTTCCCAAACCTGACTGATCTTGTCAAGTTATAAGATATTATTTATAACGATGTGCTCCCAATCCTCTCATACAGACAAAATGTATCAGCACAACTGTCATGACAAAGCTCCATACCCATCACTTTTATGAAATATGAATGGCATGGGGGACATGCAGTGAAGATAATTTTTTTTCCAGACAAGGTGGAAATATTCCAGTAAATGGAAACTCATATGCGGAGTAGCAGCATCTTAGATCCACCTTTTTTGTTATAATGGACTCTTTTGATAGATGAGTCTGGACTGCTACAATTCCAATAAGGTGAGAGAGAGTATAAGAGTGTGAAAGTGAGAGGAAAGAAAGAGAGCAACATGGACTAGAGTCTCTCAAACTCTCTTCTGTTTCTCTGCACTTGACAACATAGCAATTCTCGGCCTCTGTCATTTCTTTCTTCCCAATAAATGCAGCCAAGAGGATCACAGAGAATAATTAATGGATGTTGTGCTGACAGTCAATCACTGCTCTCTGCTTCTGAGGAACTTCTCAGGTCTTGCAACTAAATAAGAAATAAGAAGCAAGATAATGTAGACATACAAAGGTCAACGAGAAAGTTGAAATAAATAGCAAACTCACATGACCAGCAAGAGCCTTGAGAGCACTTCTCAATATCCAATAGGTCCAGAAGACATGAAGGAGAAGAAGTGCCATCAAGAGACTGTTGAAGATGTAGTATGCAGGAAATACAGGATACAAGGTTGTAGCCTCCCAACATGTGCTGTCACAGTCACATTATATAAGAAACACCTTCAAAGAATTCATTTCTTCTTATGAAGCAAGACTGTAAGCAACAATATACAGGGTGTTTGGAAAGTAACTCCCTATTTTATAATTTCAATACTTCACTTTTTGGACTGGAACCCTGGTGTTTGTGCCAAAAAAACAAGAATTCAATGGGGTTTTATGATTTCAATGATTTTTTTGCTTGCATTGATCCCCCATGGTGTCTAAATTAAATATTCAATACCATGCACAAGTAGCTGCACAATATGAGGTATGGAGGTCCTCCATTATGAACCAGAGGTGGTGGTGGAAGGAGAATAGCTTGGATGCAACTCCTAACCTCCTTCACCTTCACACTCCATACCATGCAGCTACATGTTCATGGTGTTGAAGATTTAATTTTGACACCATGGGGATCAGTGCAAACAAACAAATCAATGAAATCATAAAACCCCATTGAATTCTTGTTCTTTTGGCACAAACACTAGGGTTCCAGTCCAAAAAGTAAAAAAGTTATTGCAATTATAACGTAGGGGAGTTACTTTCCAAGCACCCTGTATATTCGTGCTTAAAAAGAAATGAAGAATGTTTGGGAATCAAAATCAACATCCTGTGTGAGCTTCATTTCACAAGGCTTTCACATGTTTAACTCTTTCGCTGCAATATTGATTTTGGCATGTAGCCAATGGCAATGTTACAAGAAGCAACTGGAGTTGCTTTTCACAGCAAAAGGGTAAAGACATCAGCTGCAAATGCATTTTCTGAGGCTTTAACTGCAATGCCACATGACCCACCAACAGATATGTGGTAGCTAATGTGTTGATGTACTGTCATTCATGAATTCCACAAAAGTTGTCAGGCTCCCATAGTATGCCCACAGGATAATAATCATGTAAACAGGCATAATGGGATTTGGTTCTCTAGTTGGGGGATATAGGACTGACTCTCTCCTAACATAACAAAATAATTCTGGCAGCTTCAACTTAGTTATGAGGGTCAACTGAATCTCTATTCTGTGCCAATTATGAGATGAATACTTGGGAGAATCAACAGTGATGAGCAAGAGATTTTTTGAGTTCAGAGGTATCTGAGATTAGGTAACCTGTATATAATTTTGAAGGGAAAGATGCCGAGACGAGTGACGATCCAGAGAAATGTGAAAATTCCAAACAGAAGATTGCAGACCCGCGTTCTCCCTGCATACTTTGCCATCTTGGCACCCTATGTCAACATGAATCATACACTTGAACAACATGTGTCATCATGTCATGAGCAGGGAATAAAGGGAATGTTACTAACATCAAGGAAGATGTCAGCACAGTCATGGCAGGCAAGGACAAGTGTCCCAATCCGGGTGTAGTTGCAGGCCCATGAGAAGGACAGGAGGCAGATTGTGGCACAGTGATGCATGAACATCTGCCAAAAATCTTTGCGTTGGATATCAAAAAACTGTGAGAACATCAGGGACCAGTAGAAACTCAGCTCCAGCATGTAATACCACCACACATCTGGGCTGATGAACTGCAATGATTCCATCATTTCTTCACTGTCATAGCACTTTGGATTATCTAATGTACATCATATTGAAAGTGAACTAACATGCATGGGGAAACCTCGCCAGCACTCCATTATGTCCCAGGTCCATGGTTTATCCCAAATGACCCAGATACCATACACAAACATCACGATGTAGACTAGGCATCTCCACCTAAATGTTCAAAGAATTTAAATATTTTTTTAAGGAGTTGCAATCATGAGTTCTGGCCATCACTATAATTTATCATATAGGAGCAACTTATAACTTCTTATAACTCATAATAAAAGACACTGAGCAAGTCTGTCCAAACTTGCCCAGCATGTCCTCACACTGCCCAGTCCAGTCTGAGCCTCTCTTATAAAGAAGCATCATTGAGCAGAGGAAAATGACATTCTTAATTTCCTCAACAATTCCATTGCCAAGATAAAATGGTCTGAACAGTATGTGATTTAATTATAAGAAGAGATTCACTAATTTTTCAGACCACATTTTTCAGACAATTTTTTTGTGTAGATTGTGATAGAAATTGTAGTTTGGCATGCATTTTCTTCCTTTCTTCCCTCAATTGTTAGGGTCTTACAAGCTTGGGAAGATCAGGGTTGGTAAGCTATACTGATAGCAGCTGTTTAAGCAGAAGAGGGCACATTAATCATTGCTTTTTGAAAATTAAGGGTATTTTCCTTCCTCACTTCAATTGTGGTTGTACCCATCAGCGCTTTTAAAGAATTCATCAAAGGAAAAATAAAAAGGAATATCTATGTTTGTGTGAGTGATTATGCATGCACAACAGCAATTTTTTACCTTGTAGCACAAAAAAAGGCATGAAAACTATTTATTATATCTTCTTAAAGTATCAGTATTTGATCAGGGAAGAGTAGTACTATGTCTCCTTGAAACTGCTTGAGCACACCTTAATTAGTATGGATATATAAATAAAAATGAAAAAGAATGACTTTGTTCCACCCTGTATTCTCCTTTTACTATCCCACTTGACAGCTTGCATCCTTGCTCATTAATATTGAACAGACTGCACCTATCTGACAGTTACAAGTTAGTGATATAACGACCCCCAAGAGTCACTGTCATAGAAAAGTATCTCAATTTTGCCCAGGTTTTGATGCATGATTTAATTGACTTCTTAACTTTTTTCTTTCATCACCCAGAAGGACCTTAAGGGAATTATGAATGTTCTGGTGCAATTAGGTACAACAGAATATTGCTATAAAGCTCAGGAGTCAGACCAATTGTATGACTCTACAACTGAATCTGGTAAGTTTGCAAGTGTCCAGGTTCAGTTTTCTTCCAGATGTCAAGTACCTGATCACATATACCTAGAGCTCATATGAAAATATGATATGGAAAATGAATGAATGAATGAAATGTGCAACAAAAAAACCTATTTCTGGATGTAACTTCAGCTCAATGAAATCAGCCTGTAATAGTTTGATAAATTGATGTTTCAATCAAAATTTGGGAATGCTGATTTAATATTTTTCTAATATCCTCAAAAACCCAAGTACAGTGGATTCCGCTTTATTGGGACACGTTGGTTCCAGATCGATTTGCCCCAATAAAGCGAACTTACCTTATAGTATAGTAAGAAACTCAGACAAGAAAGTCCTTTACTTGTGCAAAAACAAAAATTACCATTCAAGAAATGTGCTCATAGTTGCTTGTTTCATGCCCAAAAAAGCTTCTCTAAAGCAGTGGTTCCCAATCTTTTTTTATTTGCAGCACACATAAGGACGCTTGAACTTTCCATGGCACACCCAGCCATTTACTTACTTTCGATGGGAAACTTGACTTACTTTACTGCCATTTACTTACTTTCGATGTGCTTCCTTCGCTGAACACAGTAGTTTGATACGAGGCATGATAGAGCAACTCTCAGCTCATTTTTCACTGAGAGATGGTGTTCCCTCTTGTTTTTAAGTTTTTTTTTTGTCAACTCTGAAATCTCACGGCACACTTAAGTCCTACTGGTGGCACACCGTTTGGGAAACACTGCTCTAAAGCACCAATGCGAAGAGCAGTGTTCGCTATCATCCAAACCATGCTCAATAAAGTAGCACTGAAGGATGTCCAAGCGCTCTCACATGGCCTCTTATGCAAGTCACCTTAGGTGAAGTCTCAGGCTCCTCATCTGAGACATTCTCTTAGCAAGGCCCCTTGGCAATGATGTCCGAAACCATATGGTCCACAAAGTCATCATGTTCGGCAAAGCATGGTGCGTTTTTGTCAATAGGTAGGCTCCTCTGTTAGTGACATCAATAATGGTCAGACCCCAGTCGTTGGCCGATGCTGGCACCTCTGGACCGGAATAAGAGCCAGATCCATGGAAGCTGTTTGCGATGGTCTCTACCTTAACAGTTGGCTAGCTCTTAACCACAAAAGGCACAGTGAAAAGGAGTGAGGGAGTGGATGGAAAAATCAATCTAGGACTGACAGCATAAGTTAATCTCAACCTTGCCCTAGATAAAGCAGATTTTCGTCCTGAATATATGGCAAAATTTAAATGCACTTGCATAGAAATGGTTCTGTTCCTGACAAAATGTCCCGATAAACTGGCTGCCCCCATTAACCGATGGCCCAATAAAGCAGAATCTACTGTATATACAATATATCTTTGTATCATTAACATCCATAGCAACCATAAGGCTTCTTGACTTACCCTGTCTCACAAAATTTTGTGAGCTTGTTTGGTTTCCTCTGAAGTTGGTAATTGCGAAGCCACCTCTCAACTTGTCTCTCAGACATGTCCACTTGCTTGGCAAGTCCTTGGATCTAGAATGAAGCACCATGAATATAATTATAAATATATGATGATGGTAGTCATGAGACTTTATTGTACCATTAAGGCCAAACCTGTTTCCTGTCCATGATATGATTGCGAGCAGCTGCCTTCTCCAAGATGGAATTGGCTGGAATCTTGCGCACTCTCCTTGCTCGTAGTCCCAGAGATGTACCAAATGGCTTGAATGCAAACCTGCATTTGAGGAAGCAAAACTGAATTATGAAGAGAAAGTTTGCATACTGGAAAAGTATGTTAACATACTTTGTACAGCACAATTTGCCCTCTAAAGGAGAAGGGATAACAACCTCACATCAATCCAGTTACCTCCTACACAAACTTGCAAACTAATTTATACTACATTTTACATGGGATGAATGCATTTCTAAATAGAGAATCCCTCCATGTCCAGCTAATGGAACTCATTGGACACGAGTAGAAATCATACACTGTGTGCCAACAAAATTGCAACACCAAGAAGGACTGGAGGGATATATTGTTGAAATTTCATACACAAACTCTTACCAGTGTATCCTGATTGTTTCAGGACAATATACCAGATTGATTTGGGTATTGGAACAACCCTACTTATGAAGCTCAACAAGAACCAGGATAACACATCAATCAGATTATGGAAGTGGGTGGCCTTACTAAGAGAACCAGTTCCTTCTTATTTCTTTAAGCCACTTTGCTATTGGGCCAATGTTATATATTTACTCTTGCCATTAGACCCATTGATCAAGACCAGTTAGTTGAAATGATAGAGGCATCTCTTAGCATCAGAGTGCAGACTGCATTGGTATGAATGTGACCACTATGCAATGCTGGAGGACATAGTTTCAGAGAGGGGGATCAACCATGAAAAGGCTACATTCTTAAGTATCCATCTTTCCTAGTCATGATATGAGGATGGCACCAAGACTCACTGCCATTCATTTTTGTCCTTATTCTGAAGAGAAGAGAAACAAGTTACAAATGGAGAACCTACACTTACATCCAAAACTGAGTTAGAATCATGTGGGCTCAAGGCCCTTGAATGGAAAAAAAAAATTGGAGCTTAAGAATTGCCTCTGAAGATGTAAATCATCCACAGATAAATTCAGTCAATGTTTCAAGGGAAAAAAGTAGAAAAATGACTCAAAGCATTCATATCAAAATGACAGAAACTTTGTAAGAATATGCTAGACTGTCTCAAAATTTTTTAAAATTATGGTAATAGGGGTTCGCCTATGAAATGGGTCATTCAGAACCTAAATAAAAGCTTTTACCCATGCGACACAAAAAGAGCAAGTGTGTCTGCCTGCACTTGCCTGCTTTGCTGAGCAGGATGCAATCATGAGGGCCGCAAGTGAGATGCGGACCTTTGTAATGGACAAACCACTGATGTACACACAGTAACTGTACACCGGCTGAAAGAAGTGCAAAAACTCACAGGAGTACTACTTTGAATGGGACAATGCCACTTTGGAGTGAAAGTTTGGTGTCCCTGCAAATGAAAATTTTTATGGGAACTTCTTGAGAGGCTTTTTAATTTGATTATATATGTTCTAAGAGGAAAAAGCACCCAGATCATTCAATCAGCACAGAAGAGAAGGAAGATATCCTCTAAAACTAGAACCACACACACACAGAGTGAATTTTTCTGAATTCATGTTGTGCACTTTCCAAAAGGAGGAATTTCACAGGTTCCATGGAGTGACCATATTATATTTTAGTTTACAAAAAATTTGTAATTTGAGAATGAAGCAGAAAGAACACAGTAAACACCTTTCAGAGTTTCTCTTGATTCTTACTTTTAAACAGATCTGAGAAACATACCCACAAAAAGAAAATTTCTAAAGTTTAGTCAACCCTCATAATACCAGAACTCAGTATAGTACTACCCTCACTTATTGCCAACCTCTTCCTGTGGACAAATCCCCTCCATAAGTTATGATAAGGAATGTAGTTAATTCAATACAGTGCCAAAATTGGTAATGACCAACAGTGGCATTAGATTGGAGATTGCTTGTATTTAATGTTGGATTCTAATGGCTACTGCACCAAAGTTGGCAGGGTATTGGAAAGGTGGTTGAAGATACCCCAACAACAAGTAGACAGGAGATAATAGTTCAAAAGCTGCAAAATTTTCCATACTTAGGTGTCCATCCTTAGATTTGCCACCTTTAGAAGATAAATTCATGAAAGCCCTAATAACTGAACTAATGAATATATTCTGAAATTTCCAAGACTGGTCAAATAATGAGAGAGACTTGGTGTTGATGGCATCCAGTTTCTGTGATGACATGTAATCATTCCATGAATAATATTTACTTATTTGTAATACAATTTCAAAATCTGAAAAGAAGTAAGGTTTTTTATGACCTTCTCCCCCTCCATGGCCAGATGAAGTCAATGGATGCAGGTAGCAAAACCTGCTGGTGTCTGCCTAAAGAGCATTCCTACAAAAAAATGGACACTCTGTTAGTTACAAAAACTCCTTGGCTGTAGCATTTCTCTCATGAGGTCTTCAGGTGCCTTCCATGTACTTTCATGTGCTCTGGTGAGAAGCCTAAAAGCTCCAGCAGTTCAACCTCATTGCAGCAATAGTGGACTTTAAATTATTATTCTAATTGGAGTGGCTATTGCTCATGATAATGGAATTCCCAATGTTCCCACATCTACATTATTATTCTGAAATTTAATATTTATTTGAAATAAATCGAGATTTATTTCAAATAAATATTAAATTGAGATTTAATTGCTAGTATGCAAGGGGCAGATTGGTACAAGATTATGGCATAAAACAGCAGCTAGATCTGCACTTCTATATGTATACAGAAATTCAAACTCTCAGCCAATAGGTTTTTCAACATTATTTTCACTAAATTCTGAAAATGTGAATAACTTAATACATAAACTTACATAAAGAAGCAAGGAAATATTACTGAAATATTACTGTTTTGCATGTCTTTCAAGAATTTTGAAGCTGCAAGATGAGAAGAAAACTTAATGAAATATGCAACATGAGTTAAAGGCAAGACAATAACTTCCTGAATCTAGGCTTTTAGAAGGACCACATTGAGGTACTGTGAAAAGAATGCAAATGCCAGGAGTTTTTGCAAAGGTATATTGACAAGAACCATTACAAAGAGCCAGGGGAATACCTATCTTCAAAGCTTGATACTTCAATCTCAGTTACTTCCTGATTACCTTACATTTCCTAGAGACATAAAACGGACAATTTTAAAGGTGGCAAAATTTCATTTGCAAATCACTTTAGTAAAACAATTTCATATTCAAAAAATAAAATACATGTAAATCTATCCTAGTTAAGCCTGAGGACTGTGGTTAAGGTAACAAGGGAAGAGAATGAGGGATAGGCATGAGGCACAGGTGCTTGGTGAGGGCAGGGAAAGAGAAGGAATTGTACTGCAATTTCTCAGGATAGGGTAAAATTCCTCTTGATCCTATAGTATGAAGAAATGAGCCATCTTGAGTGTGCCACAAACTCTTGATTTTGCCAAGTATTCCTGCTATGATCTGAGCTCACCATTCCAAGAGTGTCCGAATGATGATCAAGATGATACCAAAAGGTATGGGGAGGTATAGATGATAGAAGTTAGCATAGGGCTTGTCAGGCCGAGGTTCTAAGTCTTTCCAGGTCACATTTGGAGGGAGCCAAATGTCCTCCTTCCAGAACCAACTCACTTCACTTGATTCCATCTTTCACACATGGCAGGTATATCCTTTTTCCACTGATGCTGGCTTTCAAAGCACTGATGGTCAAAGTCTCACATCCCCATGCTGTTATTCAACAATGACTTGCATGATGAATATTGACTGGCTTTCATGATAACCTGCAGAGCCAGCTCAATTATGGCCCAGTGAAATAATCCAGCAATATGCAAATGACCTTCAAGGAGAAAAAATAAAATTCCAGATCCATGAATTTTTACTCTCTTTAGGAATAGGCCTATGCCTACAGGTTATCTAGACTCATGGGCCTGGACCCATCAACCTATGCCTTGACCCAGAGACCTGTGAAGCTGACAGTTGCCTTATTGAAACTGGTAGGGAGATCTAAATAGTCACAGATGAAAGTCTATATATCAAACTGGTATTTTAACTAGATTCAATGAGGATCATGTTACCATATCTATCTGGCTACCACACAAGAAGTTCAGGTTTCCATATGAAGTGGTCTCCTGGGATAACAGTTCATGGTTATTTATTTCACTTTGTACTCTATGGCATGAGGAGTTCAGAGATTTTGCAAGGAGTTCACACACCCTTTTAATGCAAGCCATTTTTTTCTGTGGACCTACTAATGCCAGCAGAACTCAAGTTTCCTCCTGTTGAAACATGTAGCATCAAGGTGCCCTTAAGGTGTGAGACACAAAATCATTGCAGGAACTTGGTGCACCTCAACAGAACCAACCACATGGGGTGAGGAGGCTGAATTTATGGTTATCAATGTGCTGTGAGCCTGAGTAACATTGAAGTTGCTATCACCTACCCTGCCAAATGAAAAATGGATGTAAGAGAAGGGAAGTGTGGCTGTTAGCATGGGTAATTACAGTTGCTGAGTGCTCTAAAATGCATATTTTGACCGAATCCTCAAATCTATGAAGACTGGACAGCTTTTCCTGAATTCAGTTCTACTTGGGAATATGAACTAATTTTTTTAAATTTTAATTAAAGCTGCTGACTGATTTAGAAAATTTAATAATTAATCCAATTTTTATTCGGTCCCTACTTTCCTCCATGAATCTGGCGAATTCACCATGTCAAGTTCATCCTGAGCTGTCATTTTTGTGCTGAACGGCCTCAATACGTGCGCAGAATGTGGTCAGCCGGAATGTAAGGATCGGAGGGAAACGCACGTCGTGCGCTGACGTATATGAAGGGGTAGTGAATCTTTCTTCATTCTTTCTTATATGGCCTTACTTTTCCCCTCCTTTCTTCTTTCTTTCCTTTCAACTTTTAATGTGGGATCACTTCCCAATGAACTCGTACGTGCACTTTGCATTAGTGACTCCGTTACCTTCAACCAACTACAGAACCGACGGGGTGGAATGTAGATCACCTGAGTGCCGATTCGTCACACGTAAAACTAGGCAATCTGTCGCGCTTGGTGACCCTAATTTCTTCATTGATCCTTATCTGACAGCATGCACGCAGAACAGCTTGACCTTTAGGAGAGATGCACTGCAGCGAGGATCGGTGCGAAGCGTTTTCCCGCCGAATTCTGCGCGGTGGGAACAATTTCTCACAGACATGGATGTGAAAGGTAAGATCTTCAAACGGGCAGAATGGTATGATACTGCGGGTGGGGATTCGCTCCACTTCAGTGGGCAGGAAAAACCCTTGCCGAATCGAAGCGATCAAATCCGACCCGACCAGCACTGATGAGCAGTAGCCCTAATATGCTGTACTCGTACAAATTGCGCCATGGTTCCATTTTATGGAGATTAATCCGATTGAAGTCCGGTAAATGGATCCTCGAAGCATCTCCCGCTCCGATTTACGGACGAAACTGCAAAGGAAGATAAATACAGATAAGTAGATCCTGGGGGGAATGTTCAGCTCCCATCCTGCTTCCTGGAGCATTTTTTTTTAACACGTTGCGTCGTACTGTCCTTAAAGGCCCTTAAAGGTTTCCTTTCCCATCTCCTCACGAGGCCCTTTCTGCCTTCTCTATTAACGAGTGTGCCGCGTTTATAGATCTATCAATCTAGCATTTCCATGCTAGATCATTTTATTGTATTCCAGTCACAATGCAATCATTTTCAGCACTATCGCACTACGCAGTGAAATTGGGAGATGAAGATCAAGGAGAGATTTCAGGGCCACTAAGATTCAATTAATTTGTATGGTCACGATCTAATCAAGTTGTTCTCAAGCTGTTTTTCCCTGCAGCATCCTTTAAAAGCAAACAACTTCATCGCGCTTCACCCCTCTGAGATGCACGCATAACTTTATTGAGAAAGGGGGACTTTTGAACTTCTTTCGAAAAGTTTCCAGAGACGTTGGCAAATTGTTTAGTCGGTATGATTCGTTATGCTAAAGCCCCAGCCCATCAGTATTTCCCATGTTCGTAATGTCAACCGCCTCCCCTACCCATTCAACAACGCACAGACTGGAAACGTTGCGATAAGAGGAACTACAATCTTGTCTGTGGAGCAGGAGCGGGATGACGGGGTGCTGCTGCGAGAATGAGAATGGATGCTAAGCCCCACCCACTTTTGTTACCGATCTTGATCTCGGACCCACTCCCGTTCCCGTCCTGATTTCGCAAATTCATTCATACATCTTGAATCAACAAACTTTCCCTGTGCACCCCATACATGCAAGTCTCTGTCTTTCGTTTCTGCTTCATCGTCCATTGGATACGGTGAATACAAGTCTCCGCATACAACTCTTGCGGTACCATCTCAGCATTTTGGAGAAGTGATAACGACAGACTAGAATTCTTTATCTAGCCATAGGACTGTTGGCATGCCAAGGCGCATCTAGAGGACTCTTTACGTTGGTAGACGACCAACGAGTAAAAACTTCGATTTGCGGGATGCAGCTGCGGGTGTTTTGTGGATACAAGTGTTACATCCGCTTTCGATGCGTTACAGGGATGTTGGTCCTGACACCGCGTCATGCATTTCATTCCCTCCCGCAAGAGAACTGAAATTTTGCCAAACAGGATAAGCCCTACATATCTGGACTTAATTCATCCGGAAGGGGATGACAAAACGTATGTTAATAGGGAGCATCATAATAAATACAGATCCTGAACTGATTGGATCATCTGTTGCTGGTAACACCAGTCCAATTGGACTAAATTATAGGCTATACACGGTCCACGATCCACTTCGTCCCCTCTGCCAATGCCATTACACAAATGAACCCATCTACCTACTTGTATTGCCACCATAACAATTTCTCAACCATGCAAACTGTTCAATTTCTGAATGCAACCAAGGCCTATAATGTCTACTAGGTATGAGAATGCTATTGTCTCAAAATCAAATTTGGCCTGGGTTAACTAAAAAAAAAAAACTATTAGTTTTTCCAACCACAAAGAAACTAGGACTTAAGACTGTTACAAGTCTGAAAAAGTCAGCATTGCCAATAATATAGAGCTTTCACAAAATGTTAGTCTTCCAAACTATCACATGACATTGAAAAAGAGTTATTAAGAAGCTGTAAAAAAAAAAGTGCAAAAAAAGATCAAAAGGTGGAAAACCAGATTCAAATGAAAAATAATGATTTTCATCAATCATGCTAACAATGATAACCACTGATTTCTGTGGGTCTCCAAATACGGGCAGAAGATACATTTCTTCTGGTCTCATATAAATTAAACTGATTTTCAGTGGATGTCCCTAGAGTCTGCATACTAGCAGTGTTGACACTGTCAGAGAAGTATAAACACAGCAAAATTATTGCAAGATTCATTACTTTAATCACCGAAATCACTGTAGTAACATCATGTTATTCAGTTTAGTCATATATGTAGTCTCAGGTTAATTTGATGTACTGGAGATAAACTAATTATAGGAGAAAACAATGAAACACTAACTATTTTTACATCTACAGGTAACTATCACATCCAGTGCTTCTCAAAAGCTCAAATGGCCAGCCCAGGGAACAACTTTACTACTTTGCCCCTCTTGGAAACTACTTGTTTCCAAGGGTTAAGTCATGGTAGGAATAAATCTTCAGTGACAGAAAATAGGCATATAGGTCCCCATTGAAATGTGACATGCCATAATCATACAAGTTGCAACTTGACTCAAACAGCTCTGCACCGAGTTGAACTGATGTGCTTCATGACTCAAATGTGGAATTTCTCCCTCTCACCCTGTAATCTATACAGCCAACCTCAACTATCCTAGTAACTAATGTCTGCTGGATCTGTTTAGATGTTCTATGACCATCCATTTCCATGAGAGAAAAGCAATAAATATTTAAAAATGGAACATGAATATGGCTTTGAAGTTTGTAATACAAGGTGGGGCTTGTGATTTCTAAATAAATTGTGCAACCAATCAAAAGTCACTTGATCAAGAAAATGGTTGTTTCTGCTTGTGGAGGGACATAAAAAGTGTGGTAATTGCCACAACAGACTACTGTGCCACTTACCTTATCATGCATACAGTAGCTCATTATAATTGTGCATTATCTTGTCTTCACAGTCATCAGCTAGCAGAAACAATAAGCAGGGGACACCCTTAACACTAGAAGGACTGGAGTGGTCAATTTGACTGCTGCATTAAAAGCAGTATAAAACTATTATTCTGTAACATTTTATTTGCTTTCTCCAGATGTTATTTTGATAAAATGTTGATATTCGATAGATAGGAAAAAGTAAAAACTGCAGAGGCCCTTAGTTGCCAAATGAGCAAAGTGCATTAAAAATCGGCAAGCAGTCAAAATAATTTCCACAGTACTTCAAGCGTTAAATGGTGGTGTTAATGAAATTCATTATGGAGTGAGATCTGTCTTCTTTTGTATTGAATGAGAAGCAGTGAAGTCCACTGCTGGGAAGCTGCACTGATACATTTCAAGTCACTACATACAAGCATAAACCAGGAGTCAAACATCCTGTTCAACTCTCTTAACGTGTAGATTTGTTGCTAAATCAAACACATATTCAGGTCTATTTCTTATGAGATAATCAGTCCAACTGGTGGGATATTATCCTACCAATAACATATTCCTGAAGG